GGACTCCTGACCAGCGTGTGAGTGACCACAGCCCCGTGGCCGGCTGGTACTTGGAGCCTCTCCCTTCCTCTCACTTGTGGAGAATCAGCCCAAAGTTGCACCAGTGTGGCCACATAAGCGCTCCAGCCTCGTCCTCTCTCCTTGGTTCTTCCCTACTCACCTCCACCCCAACCAACAAGAAAGGAAAACCGAGGTCCCACCCCACATGTATTGCCTGCCCTAGTATTTGACAGAGAAGGAGGCGGTAACTCAGTGTGACCTCCACGCCAAGACGGTCCCCCCACACCCTGAGTTGCTGCCACGCCCTCAGCTCTGCAGCGGGCACCTTCGGCTCCTGCTGTTCCTTCGCTGCCGGGTCTGGGGTTTCTCCGTTCTGGGGAGGGGACAGCGGCCTTCTCTGTGCCTGAGGGCCCCATGTCATGGTGGCCCAGGGCCAGGCCAGGAAGTGAACGCTCATGCTGCAGCTAAGAGGAAGGCTCATCATTTCATCCAGAAACATTGACCTGCTTCTCCACGTTTCCCTTTAACTCTCTGGTCACAGCAGAATTCCTGTGCACAAGGACATAACCCCCTTGAGGTTTCTTATTTAGCGACCAAATTGCTTTCCAAGTGAGTTCTTTTATTCTAAAAATCCTACATTATACTCCATTTTAGCATTGAGTATCATTATTTCTTTTCTTTTTATTGAGACAGGGTCCCAGTCTGTCACCCAGGCTAGAGCACAATGGGGCAATCTTGACTCACTGCAGCCTCAGCCTTCCCCAGCTCAAGTGATCCTCCTACCTCAGCTTCCTGAGTAGCTGGGAATACAAGCGCCACCATGCCTGGCTAATTATATGTGTGTGTGTGTGTGTGTGTGTGTGTGTGTGTGTGTGTGTTGGTAGAGATGGGGTTTTGCCATATTGCTTAGGCTGGTCTCAAACTCCTAGGCTCAAGTGATCCTCCCACCTCAGCCTCCCAAAGTGTTGGGATTATAGGCATGAACCACCATGCCTGACCGAGTATCATTATTTCCAAAAGAAACTAGCATTGAAGCCAGGTGCGGTGGCTCACACCTGAAATTCCATTACTTTGGGAGTCTGAGATGGGAGGATTGCTTGAGCTCAGATGTTCAAGACCACCCTGGGCAACATAGGGAGACCTCATCTCTAGAAAAAAAAAAATATAAAAACTTAGCTGGTCATGACAGGGCATTCCTATGGGCCCAGCTACTGGGGAGGCTGAAGTGGGAGCATCACTTTAGCTAGCCCTGGAGTTTGAGGCTTCAGTGAGCTATGATTGCACCACCGCACTCCAGCCTAGGCTACGGAGCAAGAACCTGTCTCTAGTACAAATACATTTTTAAGAATTGCATTGAAGGAATAAGAATGAACCAATGGAAGGAAACATAGAGGAATTTTTCAGAGAGACCAGCAGGAATCAAGACCCAGGTGGTGAAGAGACCACGAGCAGATCAGTGAAAAGGCTGAAATGGGAGGGGGCTTGAAAGGTGGGGCAGTTAGGAGGGACCAGGATAGGAACAACTTTGACTCCACTTGAAGGAGCGTGGGCCACTTTTTGGAGGTGAGGAAGAGCCACTGAGTGGGGTTTTTTTTTTTTTTTTTTTTGAGATGGCGTCTCAGTCTGTCACCCAGGTTGGAGTGCAATGGTGCAATCTCAGCTCACTGAAACCTCCACCTCCCGGGTTCAAGCAATTCTCCCGCCTCAGCCTCCCAGGTAGCTGGGACTACAGACGCCCGCCACCATATTGGCTAATTTTTTCATATTTTTAGTAGAGACGGGGTTTCACCATGTTAGCCAGGATAGTCTCGATCTCCTGATCTCGTTATGATCTGCCCACCTCAGCCTCCCAAAATGCTGGGATTACAGGTGTGAGCCACTGTGCCTGGCTCATTGAGTGGGTTTCAGCAGAAGAACATGGAAATAATTCTCTTTCCATCTGATTTTCCTGGCTGCAGTGTTGAGTGACTGGGAGACAAACCAGCAGAGAAGGACGGATTAGTCTACCCAGGCTTCCATAACAACCTACCACGAACTGGGGCTTCCACAAGAATGTCCTGTTTCACAGTTCTAGAGGCTGCAAGTCCCAGATCAAGTTGTTGGCAGGGTTGTTCCTTCTGCAGGCTGTGAGGGAGAAGCTGTTCCGGGCCTCTCCTCCAGCTGCTGGTGGCTGCTGGTGATCTTTGGTCTTCCATGGCCTATAAAAGCATCACCCCCTCTCTGCCTTCAGCTTCGCATGGCATTCTCCCTGTGTCGGTGTCTCTAAGTCCAAAGTTCCCCTTTTTATGGCCGAGCGGGGTGGTTCACACCTGTAATCCCATCACTTTGGGAGGCCCAGGAGAGCAGATCACTTGAGGTCAGGAGTTCGAGACCATCCTGGCCAATATGCTGAAACCCGTCTCTACTAAAAATACAAAAATTAGCCAGGTGTGGTGGTGCACACCTGTAGTCCCAGCTACTCAGGAGGCTAAGGCAGGAGAATCACTTGAACCTGGGAGGCAGAGGTTGCAGTGAGCTGAGATCACACCACTGCACCCCAGCCTGGATGACAGAGCCAGACTCTGTCAGCTCCCCGCAAGATCAAAAAAAAAAAAAAAAAAAAAAGCAAAAACCGAAAAAAACAAAGTTCCCCCTTTTTTAAGGACACCACTCAGGTTGTTTTAGGGCCTACACCACTGCCCTCATTTTAACTTGATTATCTCTGTAAAGACCTTATCTCCAAATACGGTCACATTCTGAGGCATTGGGTATTAGGACTTCAGCTTGTGAATTTGGCAGGGGGAGGGACACAATTCAATCCACAACAAAGGGGGAGAATAGATTAGGAGCGTAGGACTTGAACTAGAGCCATGAAAGACAGACAAAAAGAGGGCCTAGGCTGGGCGCGGTGGCTCATGCCTGTACTCCCACCATTTTAGAAGGCTGAGGTGGGCCGATCACCTGAGCCCAAGAGTTCCAGACCAGCAAGGCCAACATGATGAAACCCTGTCTCTACTGAAAACACACAGAAAAATGAGCTGGGCATGGTGGCGTGCACCTGTAGTCCCAGCTGCTTGGGAGGCTGAGGCAGGAGAATGGCTTGAACCCAGGAGGTGGAGGTTGCAGTGAGCCGAGATCGCACCACAGCACTCCAGCCTGGGTGATAGAGTGAGACTCTGTCCAAAAAAAAAGAGGGACTGGAACAGAATCATTTGAGGATGTAAAATCCACAAGTCTTGCTATTTCATGAAATGTGGGGGAAGGGGAGTTCATCTAGGTTTGGAGTGCCTGCATTTCAGAGTTATTTAAGTGTTAGGACCAGAGGAGGAGAATGGGAGAGGGGGGCAGAGGGGATTGCACTGTAAGGTGACAGGTCATTCTAGACAAATCGAGCTTGAAATATCATCCCTTAGGTGAAACAGGAGAGAGATCAGAACCCTAAGGCATGTTAGGTAGTGAGAAGCATGTAGATAGAAATTTAAAATAATGAGCAAGCACCGGACACAGTGGCTCACGCCTCTAATCCCAGCACTTTGGGAGGCCAAGGCAGGTGGATCACTTGAGCCTAGGAGTTTGAGACCAGCCTGGGTAACATGGTGAAACCCTGTCTCTACAAAAAGAACAAAAATTTAGCCGGGCGTGGTGGTGCATGCCTGTGGTCCCAGCTACTTGGAAGGTTGAGGTGGGAGGATTACCTGAGGCCAGGAGGTTGAGGCTGCAGTGAGCCAAGATCGTGCCACTGCACTCCAGCCTGGGTGACAGAGTGAGACCCTGTCTCAAAAAAATAAAAAATAAATTTAAAAAATAAAATAATGAGCAAGGAGGTAATTGCACAAGGAAATCACGTAGAGAAGACACAGTCAAGAACCAAAGGCCAGGGAACCCTCAGGTATCAGGGCTGTGCTTAGTATCAGAAGTTTATTAACAAATTCCAAGCTGGGCGCAGTGGCTCACGTGTGTAATCCCAGCACTTTGCGAGGTTGAGGTGGGTGGAACACTTGAGGTCAGGAGTTTGAGAATAGCCTGGCCAACATGGTGAAACTCCATCTCTAGTAAAAATACAAAAGTTAGTTGGGCGTGGTGGCACGTGCCTGTAATCCCAGCTACTCGGAAGGCTGAGGTGGGAGAATCACTTGAACCCAGGAGGCGGAGGTTGCAGGGAGACAAGATTGCGCCACTGAACTCCAGCCCAGGCGACAGAGCGAGACTCCGTCTCAAAACAACAACAACAACAAAAGGCCTTGCACGGTGGCTCACGCCTGCAATCCCAGCATTTTGGGAGGCCAAGGCTGGTGGATCACGAGGTCAGGAATTCAAGACCAGACTGGCCAAGATGGTGAAACCCTGTCTTTACTAAAACCACAAAAATTAGCTGGGTGAGGTGGCAGGCACCTGTAATCCCAGCTACTCAGGAGTCTGAGGCAGGAGAATCACTTGAACCCGGGTGGCAGAGGTTGCACTGAGCCAAGATTGCACCACTACACTCCAGCCTTGGCGACAGAGTGAGAATCTGTCTCAAAAAAAAGAAAAAGAAAAATTCCAAAGAGGAGCTAATTTTCCATAGGAATGTTAGATCTGTGAGAACACCAATGCTGTCTGATTTGTTCACTGCTAAGTACTCAGCTACCTAGAATGGAGCCTGGCACAGCGTAGCAGTTCTATAATAATAATAATTGTAATTATTATTATTTAAGATGCGGATCTCACTGCAGCCTCAAACTCCTAGGTTCAAGCAATTCTCCAGCCTCAGCCTCCCAAATAGCTAGGACTACAGGTATGCAGCACTACGCTGGGCTAGTTTTTAATTTTTTTGTAGAGATGGGGTTTCAGTAAGTTGCCCAGGCTGGTCTCGAACTCTTGAGCCCAAGTCATTCTCCCACTTTGGCTTCTCAAAGTGCAGTTCCATAATTATTTGATGAATAAAATGTTGAATGAACTATCCAAAGAGAGGTATACGAAAAATCAGGAGCTCAGTGTCCCAGGAGCCATGGACGTGATTATCTTTTTGTTGTTGTTCTTGACCCAAGTTTGTTGAAAATAATACAGCATTGCAGAAAAGATTCAAACAGGTCCCTGAGGTGTTTTGAAATTTATCCCAACTGTAGGCTGAGTGACCTGCAGGTTGGACAGACGGCCGAAATCCAGAAGCTTCAGCATTTCCTTAGTGTCAGGATCTACTTCAATGATCTCCTGACCCAGGGCTGAGACCTCAGGAACATAACTGTCTTTCCTTTCTCCCTCCTCCTGCAGCTTAACGGAGATACCGCTTACTGCACCTCTCTGAATCCACTTCATCAGATGCGTGACATAGCCTGCTATCTTGTTGCGGAGCTTCTTGCTAGGGATAATGGCGATCTCCTCACACACACGCTTGTTCGTGTGGAAGTCATTGCCCAGGTGCATGTAGTACTTTTCTATGATGACCCGGGCTGCCTTCTTCACAGTTTTGGTGCGAATGTGGCCCATGTTGGCACGTTCTTAGTGAAAAAGCCATGGAAGTGATTTTATCACCTCTACCATGCTTCACTTTAAAAATATCATTTTATGTTACTGATTTTAGTGACTTAAAAATGAGCTACTCCTAAAAGGTTTGTAAAAAACTTGCTTTGTGACATCATCATAAACACTTCAGCAAAAAGCTCAGGCAACGTAGTTAAACCCTGTCTCCACAAAAAGTTTTGAAAAATTAGCTGGGCATGGTGGTGTGCACCCATCGTCCCAGCTACTTGGGAGGCCAAGATGGGAGGATCACTTGAACCCAAGAGTTTGAGGCTGCAGTGAGCTATGATTGCACCATTGCACTCCAGCCAGGATGACAGAATGAGACTCTGTCTCTACTAAGGAAAAAATAAAATAAAAGCCAGACATGGTGGCATGTGCCTGTACTCTCAGCTACTCAGGATGCTGACGCAGGAGGATCACTTGAACCCAGGAGTTGGAGGCTGCAGTGAACAATGATCCCACCACTGTACTCCAGCCTGGGTAACAGAGAGAGACTGTGTCTCAAAAAATGCTAAAAAAAATTCAACAAAAAATATTTGATATATTTAATAATAGATATTATTAATATATTAGATATTGTTCTTCAAATGAAGTCTTACGTGTTAATCCACAAAATGATCTGAGAAATAAAATTACTATATACTGCTTTATGCAAATGCTTATAGCAGCTTTATTTATAACAGATGAAATGGGAAATGATCCAAATGTCCATCAACGGGTGAATGGATAAACTGCGGAACAACCATACGATGAAATACCACTCGGCAACAAAAGAGAATGAATATTGACACACACAATGACATTGATGAATCTCAAAATAGTAGTGCTGCATGAAAGAAGCCACACAAGAAACTGCACGTACTGTATGACTGCATTTATATAGAATTCTAGAAAATACGGGTCAATCTATGCTGACAGAAAGTAGATTGGTGGCTGCCTGGCAGGGAGGGGAGGACAGAAAGGGGCAGAATGGATTATACAGAAGCAAGGAAACTTTTGGAGGTGAAGGATATGCTCTCTATCTTTATTTTTGAGATGGAGTTTTGCTCTTGTTGCCCAGGCTGGAGTACAATGTTGCGATCTTGGCTCACTGCAAACTCTGCTTCCCAGGTTCAAGCAATTCTCCTGCCTCAGCCTCCCAAGTAGCTGGGATTACAGGCATGCACCACCACACCCGGCTAATTTTGTATTTTTAGTAGAGATGGGGTTTCACCATTTTGGCCAGGCTGATCTTGAACTCCTCACTTCGGGTAATCCGTCCACCTCAGCCTTTCAAAGTGCTACAATTACAGGTATGAGCCACCACACCCGGTCATGCTCACTATCTTGGCTATGGTGATGGTTTCACTAATGTGTACATTAAACTTATCAAAGACTAACCTTTAAATATGTATAGCTTATCATATGTCAAGTATATTCCAATGAAAATGATTTTTAAAATGTGTTTACCCAACAAAAGATGCAGGCAAAATACATTTCAGAAAATATAGTCAGAGCAAGTTTATTACAAACAGACTATCACTAAACTAATTTCTATATGGTGTACTTGAGGCAAGGTGACAGTAATACCACAGGAAAGGTTAGAGATAAAGGGAAGATGAAGACCAAGAATCTGGCAAGCATGTGGGTAACCATTACCACCTATTCTGTCCAGTACTTTACTGGAGGTCTTAACTAGGGCAGGAAGAAAAAATGGGGATATGATAGGTGTAAGGATAAGTAAAAAGAAAAAAATACTGTGATTTTCAGAAGTTATGACTGTCTATACAGAAAACTGAAGACTCTCCAGAGAGTTTTAGAAATAAGAGACTTCACCAAAGTTGCTGTAATATAGGCTAGATATCTCAAAATCCATTGCATTCCTATACACTAGAAATAAACATTTAGATAACATAGTTGAGGCCAAAACGGTGGCACATGCCTGTAATCCTAGCATTTTGAGAGGCCAAGGCAGGAGGATTGCTTGAGCCTAGGAGTCCCAGACCAGCCTGGGCAACATGGCGAAAGCCCATCTCTACAAAAAATACAAAACTTAGCTGGGCATGGTGGCACAGACCTGTAGTCCCAGCTTCGGAGGCCAAGGCAGGAGAATCACCTGTGCCCAGGAGTTGGAGGCTGCAGTGAGCTGTGATCATGCCACTCTGCTGCAGCCTTGGCAACAGAGTCAGACTCTGTCTCAAAAAGAAAAAAAATCAGTGGTTGTCAGGGAATGGAGGGAGGGAGGGATGAATAAACAGGGCAGTGGAACTCTTCTGTATGATACCATAATGGTGGAAACATGCATTATACATTTGTCCAAACCCATAGAATGTACAACACCAAGAATGAACCCTAATGCGCACTACGGACTTTAGGTGATCATGATGTGTCAATGTTGGTTCATTGATTGGAACAAATGTACTACTCTGGTGAGGGAGGCTGATAGTGGTAGAGATTGTACATGTGTCAGGGAAAGGGATATATGGGAACTCTCTATACCTTCTGCTCAATTTTGCTGTAAACTTAAAGCTGCACTAAATAGCATCTACAATAGCAGCCAAAAACATAAGGACCTAGAAATCAATCTGGGAAGAATGATGGAAATAATTATAGTGATTACTGTGGCCTGCACTACTCCAATGATGTTATGTACACGTCTAATCCTCAAAGCAGCCCCATGAAATCAATACCATTATTATTCCCAACGCTATAATTTGGCCACAAAAGTTGATTCTGGAAACAAGTGCCATTTTCCCACAGTCAAACCCCTGAACACAGCCAGGCTTTGGATGCATGCACTTGTCAGATATTGAGTCTCACTGGATGAATCTTATATTCAGTGCCATTTCAGGCAGTCTTAAAAAGATTTCCTGAGGAACTTGACAAGTGGATTTTATTTATTTATTTATTGAGACTGAGTTTCACTCCTGTCGTCCAGACTGGAGTGCAATGGCATGATCTTGGCTCACAGCAACCTCCACCTCCTGGGTTCAACCAATTCTCCTGCCTCAGCCTCCCAAGTAGCTGGGATTACAGGCATGTGCCACTAGGCCTGGGTAATTTTGTATTTTTAGTAGAGATAGGTTTCTCCATGTTAGTCAGGCTGGTCTCAAACTCCCGACCTCAGGTGATCTGCCTGTCTTGGCCTCCCAAAGTGCTGGGATTACAGGTGAGAGCCACTGCGCCCAGCCCACAAGTGGGCTTTAAAATTTATCAAGAAACGTAATGGCCTAAGACAGTCCTTAAAGGGAATGAGATGGGGAAATTGCTCGTAAGTTTTCAGATTTATTATAAAGATGTAGTAACCAAGCAGTGTGATATTGTTGAAAGGAAATACAGACACTCCAAGGAAAGAAAAAGGGAAGTGTCCAGAAATAGACCTGTCTAGAGCCATTGATCTTAAGACAGAGGTGGACAGTAGGTCAGTGGGAAAGGATGGATATTCACATAAATTCCTGGGACAATGGAGTATCCATGAGGAAAAATAAAATCCGACCCCTACTTTGCACTTTATTTTTTATTTTAGAGACAGAGTCTCGCTCTGTCACCCAGGCTGAAGTGCAGTGGCACAAATACAGCTCACTGCAGCCTCAAGCTCCTGGGCTCATGTGATCCTCCTGCTTCAGCCTCCAGAGTAGCTGGGATTACAGTCAGGCATCAGAACACCCAGGTAATTTTAATAAACATTTTTGTTTGTAGAGATGGGGGTCTTACTATTTGCCCAGGCTGATTTTGAACTCCTGGCCTCAAGGGATCCTCCTGCCACTGGGATTACAGGCGTGAGCCACCACACCTGGCCTGTACTTCACACTTTGCATACAAATCGGTTTTAGAGGGATTGAAATGCAAATGTGACATATTTGAAATATTATAGAAAATATTGTAGAAGAAATTGCAAAGGAATAGCTTTATAAACTCAGGGTAGAAAAGAATTCCTTAAATTAGTTATAACCACACCAACTACCTAGGAACGAATAATCTGATTCATCTATATTCAAATTAAAGAGGTTTGTTAATCAAAACATACCATTTTTTAAGTGAAACATACAACCCATGGGATGTTATTTGCAATGAAACCAAGAAAGGGCTGATCTCTGGGATATATGTTGAGAGGAATAAGGCACACGGCATGAGAACATATATGCTGACACCATGTATATAAAGTTTAAATACTTGCAGAAGTATTTATATATTTGTACTACATATTTAGTATACAGTATATATGTTATATACTCTATATATACTAGTACATAGTACACATAACTTTAGTATATGTAAATATATAGAATATATATTTAGACTTCAGTATAGAACTGGGCCAGTGGGAATGTACACCCCAGGAGCAGTGTCGGGGTCCTTGGGTGGAAATCACTAAGAGGAAACATCAGGGGGATTCTGGCTAAACCATCCTAACAAGATTCTTGCTGAAGGCAGGCCAGGGGAATCACACATCACACATCACCTGGGGGGTGGTGGAAGATGAAGAACCCGATCAGATAGCAAGGATAATCAGAGGATAATCAGACATTGAGGATGGAGGGTTCATGCCATACTGACTTAGCAGGGCTCTTTGCTAAAAGTGAATTTTACAAGGAAGAGTGTGGATGTGCTGAGAAGTTTCAGGAGCCTGAGTAAAGTTTGGTCAAGTAAAGAATCTTCGTAAGGGCGCTCTCTGCACACCCAGAGAGCCTGGTGGGCAGCTCTCCTAATTCCGGCTTTGCCAGGAACTACACATCTTCCAGTCCATCTCTATTTCAAAACTGCAGATAATTGTATGAGGGCTTAAAGGACAGGATCTGTATCAGGTGCCTAGATGGTTGCTGGTGTTTTATGTTTTTGTTTGTTGTTTGTTTCTTAGAGACGGGTTCTCTGTTACCCAAGCTGGAGTGTGGTGGTGTGATCATAGCTCACTGCAGCCTCGACCTTCTGGGCTCAAGTGATCCTCCTGCCTCAGCCCCCAGAGTAGCTGAGAACACAGGTGTATGCTACAAGCATGTGCCCTGATCCTCTCCCGTTTTTGAACTACGGGACCATGCCACCATCCCAGTGGCTCCCTGCAGCCCTGTTCCCGTCGCCAAGGGTAAAAGTGCCAAGAAGGGGCCTCCTGGTTTGTGCTGCTAGGCACACCCTAGGTCCTTCTCCGCAGCGCAGATGGCACCAAGAAGGGGCACCCCAGA